CCTCTTGTCTCCTCCTCCTCCTCCCCCTCTCATCAACTTCTTCTTCTTCTTCTTGTAGGACCGCCGCCACAGCCCGCCACCATACCCCGCCACCATACCATACCGCCCTGCCGCCGCCACCATCTTCTTCTTCTTCTTTTTCTTCTTCTTGTAGGACCCCCGCCACAGCCCATCGCCATACCCCGCCACCACACCATAGCGCCCTGCCGTCGTCGCCATCTTGTCCATCGTTTGGTAGGTCGTGTGAGACGCGGCAGATTAAAAAAAAAAAACCTTCCTCCTTCCCCCTACTCTCTTCATCTTCTTCTTCTGGTACTTCTTGTACTTCTCTCCTCCTCCGCCCCCCCTCATCTTCCATAGTACATCCCTCCCTCCCTCCCATCTCACCATAGTCCCTCCCACCCTCGCCATCTCGCCATCCCTCCCTCCCTCCCATCTCGCCATAGTCCGTCCCATCTCCACATCTCGCCATACTCCCTCCCTCCCTCTCCATCTCGCTATCCCTCCCTCCCTCCCGTCTCGCCATAGTACTTGGTATCACACATGCAGCAAACAGCAGGCAACATACATGCGGAGTTCCCAACACCCAACCCCCCCCCCCCCCCCCCCCCCACCCCCAGACAACCCGTCCCCCCCCCCAAAACCAGAATTTTATTGCAGATTCGCGGTCCTCTCGCCGAGCACAGGAGGACCCCGCCTTCAAAAAAAAATAAAAAAAATTCTGGGCTGATTTTTTGCCCGCCCGGTTTGCCCGGGCAGCCCACCTGGCCCCGCCCGACCGGGCCTAGTACTCAGCTAATATCATACTAGTATGTAATCCTCAAAAACCATAAACCCTAAAACCCAACAGCATTCAGTGTAAATCAGTGCAATGTTTACTATTCTTTAGTGCACCAATAAAGAAAAAAGAAAAAAAAAGGCCCCAGTGTAAGGCGTACATCAGTGTATGTTTTAAAATTATGATTTGAAGACGCGGGCGCCCAGGTCCCCTACTACTCCACTGCCAACCAGTACCAATTTGCCAACCAGTCGCAAGTTGGCAACCACTCAACGCCACACCGTGGACCGCAATCGTGTCAGTCTGTCAGACTGTGGGAAACAAGAGGGCCCTAGGTCAACTACCGCTGGTCCCGCAACACCACCACATGCACCACAAACCCCCAGCCCCCCTGGGCCCCAGTACCAGCTGCCACACCAAGCACCGCCCTCGGAACCCGTACCCCGCAGCAACAACCCCCCCTCCCTCCCGTTGCCATGCGGTCACTCTTCAGACTCTTCGCCCGTTAACCCCAACAACCCCGCCACGAAGGCCTGCACCGCCTTGGCGGTCTTCAGTGGTGAGCCACTGAGCCCTAGCTGCCCTACAGCCCCTMCCCCCAGGGCCCCAGCCCCGCCCCCCCGCCATGGTGTGAGCCATTTCTCCGTGGTCCACGACACCACGCACAGGCCGCGCCAGTGGCACCGCGAACACCCACAGTCCCCGCGGAGTCGACACAGAAATCCGCAGACTCGCAGTGCCCTGCAGGGCCGTGCACCACCAATCTCGAGGCCCCGCATCACTAGACCCTGCTGACGTTGCCCCGCGCTACACTATCCGGGCTACCCTCAAGCTCCCCA